AATTCACTTAAACAATTCACAAGTCCAAAACGATGAGCTTGAAATCTCCTTGCTTTCTTTCCTATTGCTGTTTCTTTTCTCTGACTTTCTCTTCTACCTCTCAAGACGAATGTTTCTCTCTACCTTTCTCTATCCTTCTCCATCAACTGTTTTGTTCAATGAACCAATTGGTTTAGGCCGCTAATTGTTTCAGATGCTGATGTGGCCAAGTTTAATTCAAACTGACCTTGCATAGCCTCTAAGAAATAGAAGTTTCTGAGTAATTGTAGCATAAGGATATTAGTTAAACTTAAGCACCTCATTTAAGGTTTTCTAAATCAACTAAGTGTTCAATTCTTAAGTCCAACGGGATGAATTTGAATTCCCTTTGATTTTCTTTCCTATTATTTTTTCTCCCCTCTAACTTTCTCTTCTACCTCTGATGAAGAATGTTTCTCTCTACCTTTCTCAGTCCTTCTCCATCATTCTCTATTTTGTTCTAGGAACAAAATGCCCAGACCGCTAATTGTTTCATGTGCTTAAGCGGCCAAGTTTAACTCAAACTAACCTTGCTTAGCCTCTAAGAAAGAGAATTTTTTGAGTAACGATATTAGTTTAAAACTTAAGCACTCATTTAAGGTATCTAAATCACCTAAGCGTTCAATTTTTTTGGGTGAATATAAGCATTCAATCCTCAAATTCAAAATGTTGAACTTGAATTCCTTTTGATTTTCTTCCTATTTCTCTTTCTTTTTTTCAAGCTTTCTCTTCTAGATCTCAAGAAGGAATGTTCCTCTCTGACTTTCTCCGTCCTTCTCTGTTCTGTTCCGGGACTAAATAGCTTAGGCCGTTAATTGTTTCATTAGCTTAAGTGGCCAAGTTTAACTCAAACTAACCTTGCTTAGCCTCTAAGAAAGAGAATTTTCTGAGTAATTATAGCATAACGATATTAGTTTAACTTAAGTACCTCATCTAAGTTTTTCTAAATCAGCAAAGTGTTTCATTCTCAAGTCCAAAAGGATGAATTTGAATTCCCTGTAATTTTCATCCTAATTTTCTTTCTTTTCTCTAACTTTCTCTTCTCTTTTTCTTTTGTTTTTTTTTTGGGGGGGCGGGTGAATAAGAAATAAATAAAACAAGAAAATTTACACAGCTACAATTTCTTTTTCTTTGCTCCAACTTTCTCATCTAGCTTTCAAGAAGAAAGCTTCTATCTAACTTTCTCCGTCCTTCTCTGTCATTCTTTATCCTTCTCTACATTGTTCTGGGAAATAATTAACTTAGGCCACTAATTGTTTCATTAGCGGAAGTTGCCTAGTTTAACTCAAATGAACCTTGCTTAGCCTCTTAGAGATAGAATTTCCTGAGTAATATTACTTTAATGATATTAGTTTAGCTTAATCACCTCATTTAAAGTTTTCTAAATCACCTAAGTGTTCAATTCTCAAGTCCGAAAAAATGAATTTGAATTCCCTTTGATTTTCTTCCTATTTCTCTTTCTATTCTCTAACTTTCTCTTCCAGCTCTCAAGAAGAATGTTTCTCTATAACTTTCTCCGTCCTTCTCCATCTTTATCTTTTATGTTCTGGGAACTAATTAGCTTAGGCCACTAATTGTTTCCTTTGCTCAAGTGGCCAAGTTTAACTGAAGCTAGCTTTGCTTAGCCTCTAAGAAAGAGAATTTTCAGAGTAATTGTTGCATAACGATATTAGTTTATCGCAAGCACCTCATTTAAGGTTTTCTAAATCACCTGAGTGTTCAATTCTCAAGTTCAAAATGGTGAATTTGAATGCCCTATGATTTTCTTCCTATTTCTCTTTCTTTTCTCTAACTTTCTCTTCTCGCTCTCAAGAAGAATGTTTCTGTCTAACTTTCTCCGTCCTACTCTATTTTGTTCTAGGAACTAATTTCCTTAGGCCACCAATTGTTTTCATTTTTTTTTTGGGTGGATAAGTCATAAAATAAAAGACAAAAAACTTACACCACGACAAGGGGCATACCCCAGGCCCTAACCAAAGCACTATACAAGAACCAAAGAAAAAACAAAAAAAAAACTAAGCAATTCCAGAATTACCCAGAAAAACTGACGAACAAACCATAACTATCTGGACAAAATTAATAAAATAAGCCCTAACCTAAATAAACCATACATAATAGGAAATAACCAAAGTGTGTTCATGTGCCGCATGAAACTGTAATGAGGAGCGTGAACACACCCGATATCAAGTAGCAAAGGGTCAGATGAAAATAAGAAAATCATGGACACCCGTGTACATCCCACACGGGTAGGAAAAAATACCAACACACTCTAAGGAAAACAAACATAATAGAAAGTCAGACTTCACACACGAGGCGCATATAGTAGCCATCAACACAGTCAGATCCAGCTTCGAGCTTCGAGTCAACCCGAACTAAAGAACAAACCAACACATGTAACCCGAACAGATTCTACACATTATAGTAGACCCTATGAAAAGAGGAACACATTTTCACCATTACAAAGTTTGAATTTGATAATAGGGAAAATTAAATCCCTAAGCGACAAAAGTTTCCTCCAAACCCAGGAGGGATCACTGGGCACCTTAATACCCCAAAAACTCTTACCTTTATGTAAGTAGGACTTAACCCATTGACACCACATTGAACATTCCCCACCCGAAAACAAATACCAAACATGTTTGGCTATAGCCGGTTTATTCCAAACCTCCATATCGGTATTTGTTTTCGGGTGGGGAATGTTCAATGTGGTGTCAATGGGTTAAGTCCTACTTACATAAGGGTAAGAGTTTTTGGGGTATTAAGGTGCCCAGTGATCCCTCCTAGGTTTGGAGGAAACTTTTGTCGCTTAGGGATTTAATTTTCCCTATTATCAAATTCAAACTTGGTAATGGTGAAAATGTGTTCCTTTGGCATGATAACTGGCACCCCTTTGGTTCGCTTTTGCTTCGGTATGGTCCTAGGATTTTGTATGATACCAACCTTCCTGACAATTCTAAGGTTAGTTCAATTATCTCAAATGATTCTTGGAACTGGCCTTTTCCTAACTCTTGGGAGATACAGGAATGGATTGCTGCCACTCCTCCATCTCTTAAACCTTCCCTTGATTCCCCTGATATTCCTGTGTGGAGTTTGACTGTTGATGGCTCTTTTTCTATTCACTCTGCTTGGGAATGTTGGAGGGACAAGGGCCCAAAGGTTACTTGGTCTAATCTCATTTGGGGTCCTCCTGTTATCCCTAGGGTTAGTTTCATTGTGTGGCTGACTATCCATGAGAGACTTAACACTGGGGATAGGCTCCAAATCTTTGGTCTTCTTACGAGCCCTAGCTGCCCTTTATGTTGTGCTCCTGAGGAGAACCACTCCCATCTGTTCTTTAGGTGTCTCTACTCCTCTAGGATTTGGGCTGTTATCCAGGCTAAATGTAATTCCCATTGGCCTTCTTTGCCCTGGTTGGAACTTGTTGAGTTTGCTACTAAATCCATCAATGGTAAATCTCTGAAATTTGTGATTATGAAACTCTCTTTTCTTTGCACTATCTAACACATTTGGATGGAGAGAAATAGTAGAATCTTTAGTAAGGTTTTCAAACCTGAAGAGGTTAGGGGTAGACTCCTTTCTATGAAAAATGTGAAAGCTTATGCAGGTGACAACTGGTATTTGGAACAATGGAACCTACCTTCTAAAATCCTGTTGCAGTCCCAAACTGCTGCAGCTGAAAGGAATTTGAGTGGTGTGAATTATCCTACATTGAGGGTTGAGTGATGGTGAGCAGATAAGGAGTGTTTTGTCTAACAAATGGTGCTGTCTTGCAGATGGTTTTATTCTCAGATTCTATCAGCTATTATGGATCCTAAATGTTTACAAAATTTGGAGCCTATGAAGGGAGGGTTGAGTGATGTGAGCCAGTACAGATGCTCTTGTAAATGTGGGTTGAGTGGGGGGAGGAAGTACATATATTTTAGCCTAACATGTACTAAATATTATATATATTTTGTGCAGGTTTATAGAATTTTCAAGTACATTGTTTAGCTGGCTGGAATGAGAGAGCACGAGATATGTGGGCCGAGTGATGGGAGATCTTACATTGAGTGGAGAGCTCTCTTTTATTGTGGGTCGAGTGAGGGGAGGTCCTATACTGAATGCTTGTTGTTTCTTCTTCTTTATGACTCAATATATTGTTATGGAAATTCCTTTCTATTATATGTTGAACAGGTTAAGCAGCAACTTGTAAGGTGGGATTGTTCCTGGCAGTTTCTTTCGGATGGTTATTGGGCTTGTTATTGGGCTTTGGCTGCAAGTAGTCTGCTGTTGGTGATTGCTTTTGGGCATTGGCAACAATCTGTGCCTGGTTTTGCCTGGTGGTGTGAAGGTGGCTGCAACCAGCGCCCCTCTTTGACGTTGTACGCTGTGTGGATATATGCTCTTCGGCGATGGCTGCAAGTTGCGCCTTGCCTAGGCATTTCAGTGGGTTCATAAGCTATTTTCATTTCTGTATGTACATATTCCCGTATAGTGTGTTTGTAATTTTTGTATACCATAATTTTGTCCCCTCTTTGGGTTGTTTTGTCTTTAGTTCTGGTCATGTTTGAGACTAAGTATTGGGCTGGTGTTTTGTTGGTTTTCATGCTGGTCCTTGTATTTCCCCAGTTCGGTGCAACTGCTGGGCTGGTGTTGTATTTGTGCAAGACCCCTGTCTATTGTGGGGACATGGTTCTTGAACAATTATTATGTTCTGCTTAGTCGTCTTGGCTGCGTGTGTCCCCGGTTATGTGGGTTGGTAGGTTTTTGTTTCTCTTTCAGTTTGGGTGTTGCTGTTGTAGTTTGTGGTAGGGCCTGGGGGATGCCCCTTGTATTCGTGTAAATTTTCCTGTTTTATTTAATTACTTATTCACCCAAAAAAAAAAAGACCAAACAGAATTAAATAATCAACAATAGAGTACTTTGCAAAACTCAGAAACCTGAAACAGTTAACATCACACATATATAATTGCTCACTACACTCAACCCACAAGTATCTATGCTCACATCACTCGGAAAAAACCAGCTCCATACACCTGCAAAAGAAAATATACAGAGAATATATAAAAGCATGTTAGTTCCTCTCAATGTGGCTAGTAAGTTGGGGGTTATGGAGTGTTTATTCCTCACACGAAACTCAACCCTCAGATTGATTGGCATACACTCATCCATTGGTTTTCCAGGACTCCAAGCACCTATATGAATAACAAACATTAGAAAACTCCACAATGTAGTTTCTAACCTTCATTCAACCCACATTTTGTGAACTCTCAATCCTCACATCAGCAGCAGCACGCTTCAGCATAGTATGAGGCAATTTCCATGAGCTAAGATACCATCTGTCATTATGGTTAGTCTTCAAATTAGTAATATGCATTACCCAGAATCTAACCATATCCATAATACACTTAATAACAACCTCTTCAGGGACCATATCTTTACTAAACACTCTATTATTCCTAGCAACCCATAATTGGTACACAGTACAAGTAAATGCAAGCTTGGTAATAATAGCCCCCAGGGATTTCCCTTTCACAGATTTAGCAATGAGCTGGACCAAATCATCCCAAAGGAGGGATGGCCAATCAACATTGCTTTTACCTTTAATACAAGACCACACCCTTTTCAAGAATGGACATTCAAAGAAAAGGTGGTTATGGTCTTCATTATGGTACTGACAAAAGGCACACACAGTAGATTGCGTCACACCAAAAAGGTGCAACCTATCCCCAGTGTTCAGACGGCCAAGAATTGCCATCCAAACCACAAAACTCACTTTAGGGATATTGTGGGGGCCCCAAATTAAATGAGACCAATTCACATGATCAAAGTGAGTCCTTAATGCATTCCAAGTGGATTGAATGGTGAATTTCCCATCATAAGCAGGACACCAACTAACACTATCATGACCACCAATAGGGAGGAAATTTGAAGGAGTTTTGTTAATGAGGTCCATAGTCTCCCAAGAAGAAGGAAATGGCCATCTCCAAGTATTACCCTCCACAATCTGACTAACCTTAGCATCTATGCTTAAGGCGGTGTCGTACACAATACGAATCCCAAACTTATCCCAAACAGAACCCATAGGGTGCCAATTATCAAACCAATTGTTTTCATTAGCTTAAGTTGCATTGTTTAACTCAAATTAACCTTACTTAGCCTCTAAGAAATAAAATTTTCTAAGTAATATTAGTTTAACGATATTAGTTTTGCTTAATCATCTCATTTAAGGTTTTCTAAATTACCTAAGTGTTCAATTCTCAAATCCAAAAAGATGAATTTTAATTCCCTTTGATTTTCTTCATACTTCTCTTTCTATTCTCTAACTTCTCTTCTAGCTCTCAAGAAGAATGTTTCTCTCTAACCTTCTCTGTCCTTCTCCATCCTTCTCAATTTTGTTCTAGGAACTAATTAGCTTAGGCCACTGATGGTTTCATTAGCTTGAGCGGCCAAGTTTAACTCAAACTAACCTTGCCTCCTCCAAGAAATAGGATTTTCTGTGTAATTGTATCTTACCGACAGTAGTTTAACGTAAGCACCTCATTTAAGGTTTTCTAAGTCACATAAGTGTTCAATTCTCAAGTCTAAAAGGATGAATTTGAATTCTCTTCGATTTTCTTCCTATTTCACTTTCTTTTGTATGACTTCCTCTTCTACCTCTCAAGAAGAATGTTTCTCTGTAACTTTCTCCATCCTTCTCTATTTTGTTCGAGAACTAATTAGCTTAGGCCCCTAATTGTTTTGTTAGCTTAAGCGGGCAAGTTTAACTCAAACTAACGTTGCTTAGCCTCTAACAAAAAAAATTCTGAGTAATTGTAGCTTAACGCTAGTTGTTTGACTTAAGCACCTCATTTAAGGTTTTCAAAATGACCTAAGTGTTCGATTGTCAAGTACAAAAGGATGAATTTGAATTCCCCTTCATTTTCTTCCCGTTTCTCTTTCTTTTCGCTAACTTCCCCTTTTAGCTCTCAAGAAAAATGTTCCTCACAAACTTTCTCCCCCCTTCTCTATTTAGGCACTAATTAGCTTAGCGACTAATTGTTTCATTAGCTTAAGTGGTCAAGTTTAACTCAGACTAACCATGCTTAGCCTCTAAGAAAGAGAATTTTTTGAGTAACGATATTAGTTTAAAACTTAATCAACTCATTTAGTGGTTTTTTTTTTTTGTTTTTTTTTTTGTTTTTAGGAAGGTACTTTTAAGGTATTCTAAATCGCCTAAGTGTTCAATTCCCAAGTCCAAAATGATGAATTTGAATTCTCTTTCATTTCCTTCCTATTACTCTTTCTTTTATCTAACTTTCTATTCTACCTCTCACGAAGAATGTTTCCCTCCAACTTTCTCCATCCTTCTCTATTTTGTTCCAGAAGCTAATTAGCTTAGGTCACTAATTGTTTTATTAGCTTAAGCAACCAAGTTTAACTTAAACTGACCTTTCTTAGACTCTAAGAAAGAGAATTTTCTGAGTAATTGTAGCTTAATGATATTAGATTAACTTAAGCACCTCATTTAAGGTTTTCTAATTCACTTAAGTGTTCAATTCACAAGTCCAAAACGATGAGCTTGAATTCTCATTGCTTTCTTTCCTATTGCTGTTTCTTTTCTCTGACTTTCTCTTCTACCTCTCAAGACGAATGTTTCTCTCTACCTTTCTATATCCTTCTCGATCAACTGTTTTGTTCAATGAACCAATTGGTTTAGGCCGCTAATTGTTTCAGTTGCATATGTGGCCAAGTTTAATTCAAACTGACCTTGCATAGCCTCTAAGAAATAGAAGTTTCTGAGTAATTGTAGCATAAGGATATTAGTTAAACATAAGCACCTCATTTAAGGTTTTCTAAATGAAATGGGTTAGAGAGAGAAGCTCCCACATCTCTCTAGAAACTCCTTGTTTCTATTGAGTGATGATTGGCGTTAATGCTCTAACCAAATCTGAGTGCTCCCTTACTGCACGTGTACGCAATACTGGGATGGAAGTTTTAGGGTTGGTCTAACCTACTGAGGCTTTAGGTTTTGTGCAAAACTCGTTTGAAGTGTTGTCTTCGGAAAACATGGATCCATTGGAGGGGAGTCCTAAGGATCGCGATCTTGAACCTGATCAAACTCTTGAGGCCTCGCGTAAAGGGGGAACCATGAGGCAAACGGATCTGAAGTTGGGATCTATGGTTACATCGGAAAAATTCCAAGAAGTTACAGATCGTCTAGTGAGGCTAAAGGCTCCTACAACTTCCAATGAGGGAAGGATTGCTTCCACTTCGAACCCCCCCAATCTTAGGAGTCCAGATCCCCTCCTTGAGCCCCCTCCTTCATTCCCTCCTTGCAGGGGCCTTCGGGTCCACTTTGAGGCCTAGTTTTGATAATCTGAACCGTTTATATTTTTAGATTTATTCAGTATATTATACCTGTAAAAAATCAAGTTGATCGGATATCAGAAAGTATGCGTTCAGAAAATTGGGACTACAAACTATTTTTTAATAAACAGTTTTCCGAACACATACTTTATGATATTCGATCAACTTGATTTTTTACAGGTATGATATACTGAATAAATCTAAAAATATGAACGGTTCGGATTATCAAAACTGGGCCTCAAAGTGGACTTGAAGGCCCCTACAAGGAGGGAATGAAGGAGGGGCCTCAAGGGGAGGATCCCAATTCCAATCTTAGGTGGTCAGATTCTATAGAGGAGGGAAACCTAGTGCTCCAAAATCTTCCTGATAGTCTTGTTGTTACACGTAACAGAGTTGATGCTAGGATTTGTGGTGCTAGTGACAATCTAGCATCGGATCCTGCGTTGGGATAGAAAGGGGTACAATAGCCAATGAGTCCAACCAAGAAGTGCATCCGATTGGGAACTTGGGAGATCCAGAGGTTGATAGTGACTATGAGGAATTTCTAACTCAACGAGGGGGGTTTCCACAAGGTCGAGGAGGGAGATGGGGACGTGGTCATGGGGGGGGGCAGAGGACAAAAATCTTGGGCCGAGGTCGCTGCACCGTCTGCTCGATCTTCCATCCCTCTCAGGTATGTACCTCCCACTCGTAATGAGGGGTATGTCAGTGTTGAATTCCACCTAGACATTACTCTCTAGGAAAATGGGATTCATGCCTAGTGGGTTATTTTCTGGATAAGAGTGTCTCCTATAATTACATGAGGAATAGTGCTCTTAGCATGTGGAAAAGCAAGGGTTTGAAGGAGATTTTAGCAAATGGGGAAGGTTTCTGGTTTTTCATCTTTGACGATCCAGACTGCTGTAAAATGGTTCTTGAGGGTGGGCCATGGTATGTTGGGGGGTTTAATCTAATCCTCAAACAGTGGAGTAGGATGATGAAACTAACTAAGGAGAAAGCTACCAAAGTCCCTGTTTGGGTTAGGCTTTTTAATGTGCCTATGGAATGCTGGGATAGTGATGGACTCAGTCGAATAGCTAGTGCTGTGGGAGTTCCTTTGTTTATGGACAACCTCACTGAGAAAGGTAGTAGAGTCTCTTTTGCCAGAGTGTGCGTTGAAATAGATGCAGCATGTACACTACCAGCTATGTTTAATGTTAGTTGTGGAGGGGATACCATTGTAGTAAAAGTAGAATATCAGGGTCTCCCAGCAAAATGTGATCATTGTGTAGCTTTTGGGCATGCTACAACTAGATGTGTTAAATCACAGGTTGAGAAGTTGGTCAACCTCCAAAAGGAAACTGAGGAGAATCCAGACCCTGGGTGGAGTACTGTTACAGCAAAAGGTAAGAGAAAGGTGGGGGATCCTGAAGGAATAGAACATGGGGTGCAGAATGAAGAGGTAGATGGACAATTGGGTGCAGATACTGAGACCATACCAGAAGGGGTAGAGGCCCATAATACCCAAGTCCTGGAAGAGAAATCACATCGGGAGGGCACCTCCAGTGACAGTAGCAAAGTTGAACCCAGTCCTGGTGGGGAGGTCAATTCCCCTAACACTACAGCTTTGGAGAATTTCCAGAAGGACCTAGTGGAAATAACAAGGCTTGCTCTTCCCAATGAAACTGAATTGACCACTAAAGTGGAAAGTCTAGTGGAAGCAACACAGGCAATGAAAAGCCCAATACAAAAGCAAATCAGCAGAAATCGGCTGCAAAAGGTAACTCCTTTGGCAAGGGCAGCAAAAGCCAGAGGAAAAAGCAAAGGTAACTTCTGTTTTGAGTGGTTGTGGGTTACTGCCTTTTTTGTTGATTATCATATGACTTTTAAAATTGCATCATGGAATGTTAGAGGTTTCAATGATACCTCTAGACATAAGGAAGTGAAAATTTTTTTGTTACATGAAGATATAAAAGTCTTAGGCATTTTGGAGACCAAAATAAAAGCTGCAAATGAAAAGGCACTCCTTTCCTCTTGTTTTCTAAATTGGTCCTTTTTGACTAACTCACAACCAACTAAAATTGGGCGTATATGTGTGTGCTGGGACCCTGCTTTCTGTCAAGTTAACTTGATTGAAGCTTCTACCCAGTTTTTTTTTTGTGAAATTCTTGTTTTGGGTGACAACTCTATTTTTAAAGCTTGCTTTGTATATGCTGAAAATAAGCATGCTATTAGGAAAGAGTTTTTTGATGATATGGTTAAAATTTCCCAGTCTCAGTCCAATGTTCCCCTTGTATTCTTGGGGGATTTTAATGCAATTAGGTACCAATATGAGAAATTTGGGGGTACATCTGTGTGGTCACCTGAGAAGGAGGAGTTTAATTCTTGCATCATTCACTCTGGTTTGGCGGAGCTCTCTTATAGTGGCTGCCAATTCACCTGGGCCAATAAAAGGGATAGTGGTCAGTACATTGCAACGAAAATTGATAGGGTCCTGGTCAATGAGGGTTGGCTTGACCTGTACCCTACTTCTTGTGCAACTTTCCTTACTTCCTCTATCTCTGATCATTCTCCTGCTGTGGTTACTGTGTCTGAAGCCATTGTTTCTTTTGAGAAACCTTTTAAATTTTTTGACTTTTGGTCAAATCATGAGGACTTTCTCCATGCTGTATCAAAAGTGTGGCATCAATATATTCTGGGAGTCCCTATGTTCAGAGTTTGTCAAAAACTCAGACAATTGAAACCTATTTTTAAGGC